TCATCTATCTATTGTTGCAGGATTGTCGATGCTATAGTAGTTACCATAGTTGTCTTTTATTCTTGCGTTCCTCTCTTGCCTTGATCATGTTCTGCTGATTTCTTCCATATTGTGTATTGCCTTTCCCTTCACCAATATTAACACATGTCTACTATTTCTATGGTAATTTTTACTCTCTCCCCCTCCCATCCTGGTAACCATCAAAGAGTTTTTTCCCCGTGTGTAAACCTTTTGTTGTTACTTGATAAAAGCGATCTCATGCAATATTTGTCTTTTTGTGATCGACTTATTTCACTCAGCATAATGTCCTCCAGATTCATCCATGTCGTGACGTTTCGTGGATTTGTCATTATTTTTTATCATGGCGCAGTATTCTATCATGTGTATGTACCATAATTTGTTAACCCATTCATCTGTTGATGGGCACTTAGGTTGCTTCCACCTTTTTGCTATTGTGAATAATGCTGCAATGAACACGGGTGTGCATATGTCTATTCATGTCACGGCTCTTATTTCTTTAGGGTATAAATCTAGGAGTGGGATTGCTGGCTCATATACTATTTCTATTTCTAGCTTTTTGAGGAAGCGCCATACCATTTTCCATAGTGGTTGTATCATTTTACATTCCCACCAGCAGTGTATAAGAGTTCTAATCTCCCCACATCCTCATCAACATTTGTTATTTTCTATTTTTTTGATTAGTGCCAGTAATGTAGGGGTGAGATGTTATCTCATTATAGTTTTGATTTGCATCTCTCTAACTGCTAATGATCGCAAGCATTTCTTCATATGTTTGTTAGCAGCCTGAATTTCTTCTTTGGTGAAGTGTCTGTTCACATCCTTTGCCTATTTTTTAATTGGATTATTTGTCTTTTTTTTTTGTTGAGGTGAAGTTTCCCATAAATTTTAGAGATTAGACCCTTGTCAGATATGTCGTAGCCAAAATTTTTTTCCCAGTCTGTAGGTTCTCTTTTCTCTCTTTTGAAGAAGTCTTTTGTTGAGTATAAGTGTTTAATTTTTAGGTGGGCTCATTTATCTAGTTCATCTTCTGCGTGTGCATTTTCAGTTACGTTTGGTCATCTATTTAGGCTATATATTAGGGGCCCTAATTTTTCCTCCACGATCTTTACAGGTTTAGGTTTTATATTTAGATCTTTCATCCATCGTACGTTAGTTTTTGTGTATGGTGTGAGGTATGGATCCTGTTTCATTTTTCTATAGATGGATATCCAATTTTGCCAGTACCATTTGTTGAATAGACTGTCTCTTCCCCATTCAATAACTGTTGGTCCTTTGTCAAAGATCAGCTGTTCACAGGTGGATGGATTTATGTCTGGGTTCTCAATTCTGTTCCATTGGTCTGTATACCAGTACCAGGCTGTTTTAACTACTGTGGCTATATAGTAGGTTCTGAGATCAGGTAGTGTGAAGCCTCCTACTTTGTCCTTTTTTAATAAAGCTTTACTTATTTGGGAGCCCTGGTGGCACAGTGGTTAAGAGCTTGGCTGCTAACCAAAAGGTCAGCAGTTAGAATCCACCAGTCACTTGTAAACCCGATTGGGCAGTTCCACTCTGTCCTGTAGGGTAGCTTTGAGTCAGAATCAACTTGACAGCAACAGGTTTGGTTTGGTTTGGGGTTTAGTTATTCAGGGCCTCTTTCCCTTCCATATAAAATTAGCAATTAGTTTTTCCATCTCAGTGAAGGATGTTGCTGGTATTTGGATCGGAATTGCATTGTATCTATATACTACTTTGGGTAGTATTGACGTTTTCACAACGTTAAGTCTTCTTATCCAAGAGCATGGTATGTTTTTCCATTTATATAGGTCTCTTTTGGTTTCTTGCAGTAGCGTTTTTGTAGTTTTCTTTGTATATGTCTTTTATGTGCCTGGTTAGATTTATTTCTATGTATTTTATCTTTTGGAGGCTATTGTAAATGGCATTGTTTTCTTGATTTCCTTTTCACAGTTTTTTATTGATGTAGAGGAATCCAACTAATTTTTGTTTATGTTGATCTTGTATTCTGCTACTTTGCTGATGCTTCTATTAGTTCCAATAGTTTTGTGGAGCTCTTAGGATTTTCTATGTATAGGATCATATCATCGTGAATGGGGACAGTTTAACCTCTTTCTTACCAATGTGGATGCCCTTTATTTCCTTTTCTTGCCTTATTGCTCTCACTAGGATTTCCAATACAATATTGAATAAGAGTGTGATAAAGGGTATCTTTGTCTGGTTCCTGTTCTCAGGGGGAATGTTTTCAGATTCTCTCTGCTGAGGATAACGCTGGCTGTTAGTTTTATATAAATTGCCTTTATTATGCTGAGGAATTTCCCTTCTCTTCCTGTTTTGCTGAGAGTTTTTTTTTTTTAATCAGGAATGGGTGTTGGACTTTATCAAATGCCTTTTCTGCACTGACTGATAAACGATCATGTGATTCTTTTCTTTGTTTTATTTATATGGTGGATTACGTCGATTGATTTTTCTAACGTTGAACCATTGCATGCCTGGTATGAATCTCACTTGGTTGTGGTGTATTATTTTTTTGACATGCTGTTGTATTCTATCGGCTACAATTTTGTTGAGAATTTTTGCATCTATATTCATGAGGGATATTGGTCTGTAGTCTTCTTTTTGAGTGGTGTCCTTGCCTGGCTTTGGCATTAGGGTTATGCTGGCTTCATAGAATGAATTCGGGACTATTTCTTCTTTTTCTATGTTCTGTAATAGTTTGAGTAGAATTGGTGTCAACTCTTCTTTGAATGTTGGGCAGAATTCTGCAGTGAAGCTGTCTAGACTGGGGTTTTTTTTTGGTTGGGAGTTTTTTTTAATGACCCCTTCAGTGTCTTCTTTTGTTTTGGGTCTGTTCAAATTTTATACTTCAGTTTGTATTAGTTTAGGTAGGCAGTGTGTTTCTAGAAATTTGTCCATTTCCTCTACGTTTTCAAATTTGTTGGAGTATAATTTTTCGCAGTATTCTATTATGATCCTTTTAATTTCAGTTGGTTCTGTTTTAATGTTACCCATCTCATTTCTTACTTGGGTTATTTGCATCTTCTCCTGTTTTTCTTTTGTCAATCTGGCCAGTGATTTGTCGATTTTATTAATCCTTTTGAAAACCCAGCTTAGAATCTTGTTGATTCTTTCTATTGTTTTTCTGTTCTCTGTTTCATTTATTTCTGCTCTAATTTTTATTATTTCATTTCTTCTGGTGACTGTGGGCTTCTTTTGCTGCTCTCTTTCTGTTCGAGCTGTAGGGTTAGTGTTTTGATCTTTGTCCTTTCTTCTTTTTTGATGTGTGTGTTCATTGGTATATATTGACCTCTGAGCATTGCTTCTGCTCCATCCCAAAGGCTTGGAAATTTCTTTTGATGAACAAAAGTTTTTAATGTTTATGAGGTCCCATTTATTCATTTTGTCTTTCGCTGTAGCATCTAGTATATCGTAAGTATCTAATAAATATTTAAAGAGAGAAGTAAGGAATGAGCAAGGGGGAGAGAAGGTGAGTAGAAGGGAATGGATAAGAAGGAATTAAGGTACCACTAAGCTTTATTCTCCTTTTCTTTTTCAACAATTTTATCAGTGACTAGATGAAGCTGTGGGAAGAACATAATAGCTACTGTGTCCAGAAGACTAAATATGCCAGACATGATGTGCTAATAATCACTTGACTCTAGAGTCTCATTCAATTCTCACAAGAACCAGTAAAGAAGCTCTTATTATCTAGGTTTAGTAGGTAAGGAAACCAAGGGTCAGAGGAGTGACGAAACTTGTCCACGGTCCCTCCTCCTCTCTGAAGTCTCCTCCGGTCATAGTGACTTTTACTTGTTTTGCACTCATAGAACTTGTGTTTTATCTCCTCCCTTTCTATCTTCCAAAATTAATTTATGTGTGGATGACAATGTCTGTTATGTGTCTGCTGTGAACTGGTAAGATCTTAGACTCTTGTTCTCCCCAACTGTTTGTGGGAGCAGGGATAATGTTTATACTTCCTTCTAATCCCATAAAGATTTAACAAACAATTATAAGGCAACACATAAGGAGTCCTGGTGGCACAGTGGTTAAGCGCTCGTCTGCCAACTGAAAGGTTGGCTATTCGAACCCGTCAGCCACTCTGTCGGAAATGATGTGGCAGTCTGCTTCTGTAAAGATTTATAGCCTTGAAAAGCTTGTGGGGCAGTTCTACGTTGTCCTATAAGGTTGCTATGAGTTGGAATCGACTTGAAATTGACTCGATAGCAATGGGATGGGTGGCGCAGTGGTTAAGTGCTCAGCTGCTAACTGAGAGGTCAGTGGTTCAAACCTACCCAGCAGCTTCTCAGGAGAAAAGACCTGGTGATCTGCTGCTGTAAAGATTACCTATTGCCGTTGAGTTGATTCTGACTCATAGTGACCTTTTAGGACAGAGTAAAATTGCCCCATGGGCTGTAAATCTTTACAGAAGCAGACTGCCACATCTTCCTCCCATGGAGTGGCTGGTGGGTTCAAACCGCCAGTCTTTTGCTTAGCAGCTGAGCGCTTAACCAATGCACCACCAGGGCTCTTTCTGTAAGATTACAGTCTAGAAAATCTCATGGGGCAGTTCTACTGTGTCACATGGGGTCCCTATGAGTTGAAAATTTACCTGACGACACCTAACAACAATAAAGCAAGCTGGAAGTAGGTAGTATAGTGGGAAGACTGTGTATAAAATGGGGAAATAAGGGAGAATGGAAGGAGCACTGCGTGGCAGGGTACATTAATCAAGCTTACCATTGTATTTTAGAAAGTCTAAGATCCCGACTGCAGAGAAGACAGATGTGTGCATGTGCACAGTGGGGAGTGGGGACAGGATATGATAAAAGCAGCCATTATTGAGGCACTAATGATGCAGCAAATGAAGAAGAGTAAAAATATCACTTTCAGACACCACAAGCAACTGAAATTATGTATTAAAATTTTAAAAGAAATTGGTTAAAGCCAAAGTTCTCATAGTACAAAAGGCAGCAACCCCACCATACCTAGTAATGAGCTCTTCTGCGGCCTGGGAGCACAGCTGCATCTGCGACACCTCTTCTGTTGCCAAGTCGACAGCGTGATGAATGTACAAATGGGTCCGGATCACTGGTTTACCAGAGTCATACTTCTGCTTATCCTCCCAAGATTTTAGAGTGTTTTCGAAAGCCTGTTTTAAACCAATATTGCAATGACCTGTTAGATTATAGCTCTGAGGCCCCATAAACGTGTATTTAGATAATACATGAATGACTTCGAAAATACGATGGCTTCCTTTCTAATCTAACATCTCATCAAATAAATTGTAAATACAAAATAGATATTTAAAGTTTTCTAACATATAGTAACATAATAAATGATGTAACTGTGAGAATATCATTGAAAAGTTAAAAAAAGCTTCAATTTATGCATCAATCTTTACTATTTTATTATGCTAGACAGATGTATATTGGCAGTCTTATTTGTTAAAGGTGTGACCTTAATTAAAAACACTATATATATAATACACATGTGTGTGTGTTCATATTTCAAACCACAAATGACCTATACGTCAGATGTAAGAGACAACTTAAATCCTTTCCCTTGTTTTCTATTTTTTCATGACAACTTAAGATTTGTAAAAACAACTTAGAAAAAATCTAGGAAAATACTTTTTGTTACATACTCTATCTCTTGTTAGCATCTGAGCTCGGTTCTTGTGCACAATTTTGATAATCCCTGGAGGCTGGACCCACGCTTCACCGTCCACCTGAACTGGAAGTCCCTCATCACCAAATATAGTGATTTTCACTGCACGGCACTGAAATTGGGAAAAAAAAAAAAAGTTATCCTAGGGTATAAATCATCCCGAAAAGTGACATTCAGTCTGTATTCAAGCTTGATTTCAGTGCTCATGGCATTCTCTCTGTCTATTCTGTAGACAAGGAGTCCTTGGGAGGTACAAATGGTTAAGCTAAAAGGTTGGTGGTTTGAACCCACCCAGGGGAACCTTGGAAGCCAGGCCTGGGGATCTGCTTCTGAAAGGTCAAGACCTTGAAAACCCTATGGAGCAGTTCTACTCTGCACACACGGGGTTGCCATGAGTCTGAATGGACTCGACAGCAACTAACAACAGGAATTCTTTAGAATGTTATACTTCATCACCGCCATGACAAAGTAACAACTGACATGGAGAGAAAGTCAGTATTTTAGAAATGAACCTACAGTGTAGGAGTCATTTGGAATAACTCCCCCCAACCCCAATGGCCCAAGTAGTGCTGTCAGATTCGATTACAGAAACACACCTGGGCTATTCGATGATGCTGTAGTTTAATGACCCTTGAAACTGCCATTTGCACGCTATCAAAGATTGCAACGACTTCCAGTATCTTGTCATCAAATGATGGTGCAGTAAACATCTGAAAGGAAATATGGCATTACACTTCCACTGCAAAACTTAAGATTTAAGTGGCACGTGAAACAATGTGAACTCTAAACAGATACATAAACTTATAAAAATAGTAAGCAGAAAAGTAAGAACATATTATTAGGAAAATAATAGGTATTTCTGTAAGCATGCTATGCTAATTTTTTTACAGCAACGTGTAAAAAAAATTGGCATAGTGGTGCTTATGAAAATACTTCATGTGGGGAGGGCACGGTTGACAAACAAATGTAGAAGGCGTGCGTTATTTGCGTATAAAAAACAGTAATTAGTCCTTGAAAAAAGTCATTCAACATAAAGTAGTATCCTAAATGAAACTTCCACTGAAAATATCAAAAAAAGAATTTACTAATAGTGATGATTTCTTATCACTCTTGCTATCAGATTGCCTGGATTTGAATCCTGGCTCTGCTACTTACTAGCTGTGTGAACTTTACCTCAGTTTCTTCAGCAGTAAATTGAGATAAAAATTGTGGGTCTTAGGTAATGAATGTGAAGCTCTTAGTCAATTGCTTGACTACCTAGTAGGTGTTCAAGAAATGTTAGCTTTATCTTTATTTCGTTGATTTCTTACCCACAAAATATTTGAGTAGTGAAAAAAAAAATTTGAGTAGTGATATGCTAACAAAAAATGTTGACTGCTAATATAAGTTTTTATACTCCAAAGGGATTAGAATATATTCATATCATGAAAATTACAAATACTTTCCAGTCTGTTTTACACTTTAATCCTATCTGTGCATTTAAGAGCTCTGAGGAAATGGGTAAGAGCCATTATATCATAAGCCTCAAATCAAAGGGCCCATTAATCACTGTATGTGATTATTCACAGATTGTGACAGTTCTTTTTATTGCTATATAAACTTTAAGAATTGTGCCCTCTCTTTTATTCTTTTTAAAACAATTACATTTGTTAGGTTGTGTTTTTTTCTTTCTTTCTTAATAAAGTATAAAAGACATAAAAAATAGCCCTATATCGTGTCCAAATGACCCCTCTTGACCTTTTTAAATCAAAAGTAACATACGCAAAAGTAACATAACAAAAATACACATATTTCCTAAATATATATATATATATTTAGAAAATTAAAAGTACAGAAAAGTATTATGGTAGGCAGAATAATGCCCTCAAAATGTCCATGTCCTAATCCCCAGAACCTATGAATGTTACCTTATATGGTAAAAGGGGCTTTTCAGATGTGATTAAACTAAGGATCGTGAAATGGGGAGGTTATCCTGGATCATCTGGGTGGGTCTGATGCAACCATAAGGGTCGTAAAAGTGGACAAGGGAGGCAGAAGAGGAGGTCAGAGTGATGGCATGTGAGAAGACTTAATTTGCCATTATTAGCTTTGAAGATGGAGGAGGGGGAACACAAGCTAAGGAATGTGGGTGGCCTCCAGAAGCTGGGAAGGGCAAGGAAATGGATTCTATCCCGGAGCCTCCCGTACGGAATGCAGCCCTGCTAGCATCCTGATTTTAGCCCACTGAGACACATATCAGACTTCTGTCATACACAACTGTAAGATAATAAATGTGTGTTGCTTGCAGAAGTGACAGAAAACTAATGCAGGTATGAAATGAAAAAGTAAAAAGTTCCCTTCTTTATCCCTTTAATCTCCTTTACCAAAGCAGATTCTTTTGTGTCCATCCAGAAAAACTTTAGATACTTGTCAAGATATGTTATATCTACATATTCAACACGTGAAAATTTCAGAGTATATCCATGAGAGACTATTTAAATAAAATCTTAAAAAATCTGTCCTACCTCTCATCTCCCAGTGAGAAAGAATAGTATATTCCAATGTGAAACTAAATTAGTGGTAGATGACTTATTGACACATTAAAAAAAGCAAGTTATTTCAGTAATTTAATTATTTTTGAGGAAACAAACTACTGACCCCCATTACGCTACTTACATCATCCTCTTTAGTTCCACCCCAGAAATTAGTGCCACCAGCATAGCTGGGAATGTTCAACACTGCTATGCCTTGCAGACTGGGGAGAGGAATATACTGTCCATCACACTGTAAGATAAAACGCTTAGCAGTTAGATGCAAAGCCCAAAACCACTAGTTTGGAAGATACTAGAATACCAAAGACAAAGGGCAATGGGGTAAAGTGTTGATGTTTGCTCTCCCGTAAATGCATGTTTACACACTATAAAGGCTTTTATCTTATCTTTTTAATTAACAAATTTTAAAGTATAGATAACCACAACAAAATCTGTTACAGAAAAGAGAATTAAAAACAAACAAAAAAACTATTTCATCTCTTCTTTCTTCCAAAATTAGGCTTTACTTTTCTTGAGTCATTTTCAGGTCACTTAAGACATTCTCATTTGAATTACAGTCATGGTTGTACTCATTTTAAACATCCCTTTTTTTTTAAAAAAAAACTGTGGTAAATATATATGTAATAAAACATTTGCCATTTTAACAGTCTTCACATGTACAATTCAGTGACATTAATTATGTTCATCATGTTGTTCAACCATCACCATTATCCATTTCCAAATCTCTCCATCAGCCTCAACAGACAGCAAGCTCAGTAAAGGCCGACTCTGGGCCCCAACCATCTCACCTAGCACCTCTCACAGCCACCAGTATGAAGCTGGTGCTCTGTAACTAATTGGTAACTGGCTAAATGCCAAGCTGAGGTTCTCAAGTACAGGGAGTCCTCGACTTAGTGTATTAGAATTACGCCAAACTGCACTTACAACTGTTCGTTTTTTATACATCTTATCGTTAGTAATATGTACCACATACACTGTTGCAGCACATAATTTGTTGATGTGATGTTATTCTCAGATGTTCAATCGCAGATGTTTATATGTTTCCAACCCTCCATAACAAATAAAGATTGAATTTATAAAGATACTGATGATAAAAGGCAGTAATAATGAAAACTAAAAAAAAAAAAGAGGTATTCGACCTACGTCAGAACCAACTTACAATGGAGTTGTAAGTCAGGGACCACCTACAGCCAGAACCAAAGCCAAGCTAAAAATTACACATGTAGGAAAGCACCTTATACTTCTTGCCTTCTAATTTATCAATTTAATGAAAACTAAATTACTACTTAAATTGAAAAAAAAAAAAAAACAAAAACCCAAAAAACAAAACATTGTAAGGTTGGTGAAGTAATTATACATTTCATGTGAATAAATTCTTACTGAGTAAAAGCAGAATTGCTATCTTTTCCTTGAATACCAAATGAAACTAAACCAAACCCACTGCCATCAAATTGATTCCAACTCATAGTGACCCTACAGGGCAGAGCAGAACTCCCCCATCGGGTTTCTAAGGCTGTAATCTTCACGGAAGCAGACTGCCACATCTTTCCCCGGCAGAGCGGCTAGTGGGTTTGAATCACCAACCTTTCACTTAGCAGCCAAGCGCTTAAACCACTGTGCCACCAGGGCTCCTTCCTGTATATTAGTTCACTCAAGTATGATTTTGCATGAAAGCATTGTTTTATCCATCGTGCAGATGGAGAAGCCAATGTCAAAGTCTTTGTTCTGCACAAATTCAAAGACAAGACATGAACTCCACACTACAGTATAACAGGGAAAGGAAAACTTATCTGAGGCAAAAAGGTTAGAGTTCTCCACCAGGAACCGCCACTGGTGAGAGGGCTCTCTCCAGGAAGAGCTTCCCAAACCCTGGGTCTCTCTTCTCCACCTTCCTCCAAGTGAACCATCAGGGAAACAAGTGTTTAGACAACAGGTCTTCCATGGTCCTCAGTAGTAGCAGGCGTTTTGTTTATGTTTAACTATGGCAAAGAGTTCTTTAATTTTTCTACTTTACTGCTACCTGTATTTCAACATATTTTCATTTATTTTATTAATTTTATTTTCCTTTCTATTATCAAACATAGACTTCTATATCAAGGGTTCTTAATCGGAGGTTAAGAAACCAGGAGTCCATAGATATAGAGTCAGGAGGTCTGTTAACTTGAATGGTAAAAATCTGTATCTTCATGTTCAGTAGCCTCTGAAATTTAGCATTGCTTCAGTTATGAACGTGGGTAACAAACTAGGTATTAGGAAATACCAGTGACTTCATCACCAATAAAAGTCACAAACATTTTTTGTATCACATTACAGATGCTTCAGATATCTTTTAATATCATTTATGTTCACTCCTATTATGAAATTAAGGTATTTATTAGACCTGTCGTTAGATTTTTTTGTTATTCAGTGTGGTAATAAAGAAGCATGTATAATACTCTATACAATAATTAGAAAATATTTTGTTAATTTATTTCATTATAATTGGTTTCTTTTGTAATTCTATGTATTTTATATAATGCATTTAAAAATATATTCTGAGAGGGCATCCATAATTTTCACCGGAATGCCAAAGGGGGCCATAATTAAAAAAAGGTTAAGAATTCTGTTACATGGAGAGTAAAAAGTAGCTGTGTGAGACAGTTTAGTTCAGAATTTCGATCACTAGTAGAAGTGGCTAGAAACCCTATTTCAGAACCAGTGAAGGCTCTTCCAGGAGTAAAGTTAATCCCGCCCTTCTGATTCCAGATAGTTCCCTAAATCTGAAAGATAGCTATGGAGATAAATCACAGTATTTATCAAATTATACTAAAACGATTTCCCCTTACGACAGGGCCAGGCACTGGGCTAAACACTGAGAATAACAAAGATGAATATATCTTCCTACCTGTCCTTAAGGAGCCCTGGTGGCACAAACGGTTAAGTGCTCGGTTGTTAACCAAAACGTTTACGGTTTGAACCCACCCAGCCACTCTGTGGGAGAAAGACCTGGTGATCTGCTCCTGTAAAGATTATAACCAAGAAAACTCTATGGGACTGTTCTACTCTGTCACATAGGGTTGCTATGACTCAAAATTGACTTGATGGCACACAGCAACACCACCACCTGTCCTTAAGGAGAATTTGGCCAACTAGGGGGACATGGATAAGAAAACGAAATGATTACAATACAATACATAGTTGTTATTGTTGGGCTGTAATCTTTATGGGAGCAGATCACCAGATCTTTCTCCCATGGGCACCTAAATTGGCCTGAGGATGGTGCTATCAAGAATAGCATTTAAAAAGTGTGAACCTTCATGATTCTGCACCTTTTCAGCCAGTAGCATACACATTAATTTTACAAGCAATGTGTAAGTCTAATCAATTGATCATGTAGTTGTATTCTTAGAGTAGAAAGTACATTAGGCATTACAGAATTGGGCCAGAACTTGGAAACTTAATGAGAAAATCCACTGAAACCCTATCCTGTACGTATACTCCTGTAGCTTCAACTTTTCATGGGGCACCCACAGCTCCATAAAAAAAAAAAACCATAACACCAAACCCACTGTCGTCTAGTCGATTCTGACTCACAGCAGCCCTATCGGACAGAGTAGAACTGCCCCATAGTGTTTCCAAGGCTGTAAATCTTTACGGAAGCAGGCTGCCGCATCTTTCTCCTGTGGAATGGCCAGTGGGTTTGAACCATTGACCTTTTGGTTAGCAGCTGAGCGGTTTAACCACTGTGCCACCAGGGTATTTCAGGAGCTAGTGATAATAAGGAATCCTTGGGTGGTGCAAACAGTTAATGTACTTGGCTGCTAACTGAAAGGTTGGCATTTTGAGTCCACCCAGAGGTGCCTCAGAAAAAAGGCCCAGGAATCCACTTCTGAAAAGTCAGCTATTGCAAACCTTATGGAGCACAGTTCTACTCTGACACACATGGGCTACCATGAGTCAAAATCAGCCAACTGGTTTAGTGACAGTGAGAGTTAGGCTGTGACTCGTATCCAGTGTCTACCTCTCCTTTAATATAAAGTTGGTAATCGCAACTTAAAAATCACTCTTCCATTTTTTCCCCTTGAGAGTTTAATCGCTACTCAAAAGGAACTTAGGCCAAATCAGCTCCAAAAATGAAATTATTTTTTCTCAGTGAAATAATCTAAATAAGATAATTTCAGATTGTCTTCAAGATGAACTTACCTCAAGTTGAACCCTTTGTTCTAAATTCTTGTAGGATCTCTGTAGTAACTCCCTGGTTCCCAGGACCCCATACCACATGAAGTTTTTAGTCCGGCTTCTGAAAACAAACGTTGGCAGGCAATTCTGGTAAATATTACCTATTTACTCTTTATAGGCAGAAACAGCAAAAGAGATAATAAATGAAATTAAAGTAAAATTGCCTTCATTTAACAATGTTGCTAATACCAAAATTACCTGCATTTTTCAGGGTGCTCTTCTCGCTTATTATTAAATTCTAATGAAATTTTGGCATCTAATCCAATCCCAAAGTAATTGTTCATGACACATTTTTCTGTATATCCATCTCTATGATGACAAGGAAAAATATTTCAAAGTCAATTCCAGGTTCATAACAACAGTTACAATTAATATACAAGATCGTACTTAAAAGTACTCAGATTAAGTTTTCATTACTTACAAGAGAGAGTTAAGCTTAGCAGGAATCACTTTCCACCCATAACCTACACGCACGTGCAATCCTTGGTATGTGGTATAAAGGGATGGTGGGCAAGGCCCAGCAGAAGCAGGCTTACTTTTCTATTACTTGCAAAAAAATCTTAGTGCTCCTATCTCCTGCATAAGCCCCTTACTACACAGACAAATGAGGGTGACTATAGGGGGGCCCTGCATTCAGAGGCCCATCCTCCTTTCATTAGAAAATCTTCTTCACATCTACTCCTAACAATGGACAAATATTTATTGAGCAAAGACTACTAGGTCCTGTCCATCATGCTAGGTGCTTTGGAAAGTACAAAGATGTTTAAAATATGGTACCTTCCTTGAGGAGCGTCATTAGAGAAACAAGGCATCACAAATGCAAAATCAAAAGTGGCAAAAGGAAGTATACATTGAAGTGCCACAAACTTTTATTGGTTCTGCGAATGGAGAGATCAATGCGGGCAGAAGCTTCCTGAAATAAGTAAACCCAGAAGCTGGACTTGGAAAGATGATTCGATTTTGTAAGTCTGAGAAGAACGATGAAGGGAATAACAAAAACATGGGTGTGAAGGCACCACTGAGCAAAATATTCAGGGAAAGTGAAGAGCTGAACACTTAGTCATAGGGTTCCTACCAGAGGGAACAGTAGGTACAGTTGGAAAGGGACCTAGCTGGTAGACAGCTATGGAAGCTACTGAATTGCAAATGGGCCAAAGCGCTCATCATCATCAACTTTTGAACTTTTCTGATTATCCTTTTTTGTGAAACCATATTCATTATCATACATCTAAAAATATTATCATTAGTACAAGACAGAGACAAGAAAAGCCAAAACAAAATGTTTGCAAAAGCATTTTCTTACAATGAATCTGGATCTGGGTCAATAAATGGCGTTGCACCAAAAGGATCAATATTTGCTAGTAACATTTTGTTGATAATAGAACTCCCAGCAATCGAGGCAGCTAGTCCTGCTCTTAAGCCTGGCCAGAAAAATAAATACATACATAACCACATGTTAGGAAAAAATACAGAAATAACCAGTCCTTTGGTTTCAGGCCTACTGTAATTCTCAAACATCTTGCTCCCACAGTTTCCAATGCCTATTCTTCTCATTAATCAAAACTAAGAACAATGACTTTGGTGAATACAAGACTTTTGATACTTTAAATGACCTACATTCTGTCTTAGAAACATAAGCAGATGAGGAACTAAATTGGAGTCTCTTTGTGACAGTTTCTCATATACCATCTCAATAATTTTACAAATCAATAAACATACGTTACATCCTTTCTTACAGCAAATAAGGTATTAAGTTTTTAAAGAATTTACAATAAAGGCTGAATTACTCCAAATGGCATGCAGCTATTACTTCTATACTCTCAAAACATACATAACAATTAATGAAAAACGTTACGAGATGTACTAAGGTTAAAAACTCAGTGCTGGTGTCAAGAATAAGTAGTGTTGTTGTTGGTTGCTGTCAAGTCGATTCCGACTCATGGCAACCCCATGTGTGCAAAGTAGCACTGTTCCACAGGGTTTTCAAGGCTGTGACCTTTCATAAGCAGATCTCCAGGCCTGTCTTCTGAGGAGCCTCTAGGTGGGTTTGAACCATCAACCTTTTGGCTAGTAGTCAAGCACTTAATCATGTGCACCATCCAGGGACTCCTAGTAGATATTTAGCGCAGGTATTTACAAATTTTAAATTCACCTAAATATGCAAAACTTCACATTTATTCAATATGTTTTCTATTAACTAGTTATGGTATTCAAAACTAATGAATTTTATGATTTACTCAACCCAATATTAAGGCTAGAAGCATTAAAGTGTGGACAGAAGCCAAAGTAATGGGGAACAGAGAAGGAAAACATATGCGACTGAGAAACACTGGGAGATCTGGAAAAAAAGTCCTTTTTGGTAAACATTCCTTTCCTCAACAATGTGCTCTTCTTAGAGGATTATTCTTATTCATTACTGTTGCTACTAAAGTTGATTAGCAAATTATCAAGATGAATTTTATCCTGTCGCTTAATTTCCTAGCTTTGAATATACTATAGCATCTATTGTTATGACAATTTCCTTTGTATCTCAAAAAGTAAACAAAACGTAAGTGCTGATGAGAGTAAAGAACAGCTTGGAGAGGTGAAGAACCACACTCCAGCTGCCCCACAGAACAGTCTAATATTCTCTACAATATTTTAACATTAGCCGTATTCATAGCTTGGAACCCAGAAGGGTCATTCCATGGTTTCAGGCTGGAGGCGAGACATGATCTCTATGGAGTCCTTTCCAAAACTAGAAATGTTCCTGATTTCTCTTTTGTTTTCTTTCTCTCTTTTAACTGAGATATAACTCATACACCATAAAATTCACCATTTTTAAGTGTATAATTCAGTTGCTTTTAGATTAACAGTGTTGTGTAACCATCGTCACTGTCTAAATCTGAACATTTCATCACACCGAAAAGAAAACCTGTACCCAGTCATTCCCCATTCCTTCTACCCTCTCCTCCTCAACCCTTAGCAACCACCAATCTACTTTTTATCTCTACGGATTTTCCTGTTCTGGGCATTTCATATAAATGGAATCATACAATATGTGGCATTTTGTGTCTGGCTTCTTTGACTTATCATAATGTTTTCAAGGTTCATTCATTTTGAAGCATGATTGGTACTTCATTCTTTTCAACAGCTGAATAATATATTCCATTGTATGCATATATCACATTTTGTTTATCCATTCATCAGCTGATGAACATTTGGGATGCTTCCACTTTTTGGCTATGATAAATAATGTTGCTACAAACATTCATGTACAAATTTTTATGTAGACATGCTTGCAATTCTCTTTGGTACACACTTAGGAGTAGAATTGCTGAGTCATATGATAATTCTGTATTAAACTGTTCAAAGAACCAACTTCTGTATTGTTTTTCTATTCTCGATTTCATTTATTTCCATTCTTTATTATTTCCTTCTTTCTGTCTGCTTTGGGTTTAGTTTGCTCTTCTTTTCCCAGTTTCTTAATGTGGAAAGTTGGGTTACTGATTTGAGGTTTTTTTTTTGGCTTTTCCAGCTATAAATTTCCCTCTAAGCCCTGCTTTATCTGCATCAAATATGTTTTGGTACGCTGTATTCTAGCTTTCATTCCTCTTAAGTATTTTCTAGTTTCCCCTGTGATTTCTTCTTTGACCCACTGGTTACTCAGAAGTATATTGCTTAATTTTCACATATTTGTGAATGTCCCAAATTTCCTTCTGTTACTACTTTCTAATTTCATTCCACATGGCTGGAGAACACAGTTTGTATGGTTTCAATCCTTCTAAATTTATTCAGACTTGCTTTCTGGCCTAACATACAGTCTATCCTAGAGAATGTTCCACGTGCACTTGGGAAGAATGTGTTTTCTGTTGTTGTTTGGTGGAGTGCCCTGTAAATATCTGTTGGGGTAGCTGGGTCTATGTGTTGCTCAAATCTATTTCCTTGTTTATCTTCTGTCTAGTTGTTCTGTTCATTATTGAAAATAGGGTATTCAAATCTCCAACTATTATCACTGAATTATGATTCATCTTTAAAAAGAACTTGTAGGAAACTGATTTTCAGGGTCTAATTGGGTTCTGATCTACTCTGGAGTGAATCCAGAGGGTTTTCACTAAGTCACGTAACTAGTACTTAAGGAAGCCTCTGAAGCTTTTGCCTACATCCCTTGTCCCTCATAAGCTCGTGTTTCCACTAGTACTGGCTTGATTACAAGATAAATTCATTTTATTAAGGCTGCAATAGATGCCTCAGATAGTATAAAATGAAGCAATATTATTAGTCTAAAAATGACGAGACCTGTGGCTTAAAATCAAAAGGAACCTGTGGTTATACGCAAAAAGTAGTAGAATATCAGACTGGATTTACTTCGGGTACTTACTAAATGCAGATTCCTAGGCTCTAGTCTAGAACTACTGAATCAAAATTTCTCAGGGTGGGCCCCAGAAACATGTATTTCAATACTTTCCAGGAAATGCTTATGCACACACAAGTCAATTCTGACTGATAAGTGTACCAAGAACATTCTCCTAAAGGAACACTTATCTTAAAGAACACATTTCTACAGTTCATGGAAATATGTACTGCCTTAGTTTGCTAGTGCCGCTATAATAGACATTCATGTTAAAGTACAGACTTCCGTATTGTTTTTCTATTTTCTCACAGTTCTGGAGGCTAAAAGTCCAAATCAGGGTCTCAGCCATGTTGATTCCTTCTGTGGGTCTCTGTCCTAGTTCCTGGTGACAGTCATCAATCCTTGGCATTCCTTGGTGTCTGCCTCCCCCCTGTGTTTGTCTGAGTCTATTCTGCCCTTTATATAACTAAAAAGTGATTAGGTTTTAGACCCACCCTACTCAGGGATGATCTTATCAATATAACAAAAGAAAACCTCTATTTCCCAACAGGGTCATACTTACAGGTACAGGGGTTGGGATTTCAATACATATTTTGAGGGGACACAATTCAACTTATAATAAGTACTGACACATTTTCACAGAAACACTTATAATTAAACCATGTTTAAGAATCTGTACTACCTGGGCAAATGATTCTGGTATTGAGCACAGGGAGGCTTTCTTTGCAGGATGCCATAGTGGGAGCTGAGCTGGAGGACTCAGTTTGGAAATGGCTATGACTTGTCCGACAATCTGGAGACCGAGGAGCAGTTTTAACTGTTGGCAAAAAGTCCAGATTCAAAAGAGGCAATGATAAAAAGTTATAAAAATAAGCAACCCCTATAAAACGAAGGCATAAAATAATTTAATATAAGTTTAAATCAGTCAGTGGAACTAAAATGATTACAATGTATGTCTTCAGATTTAATACAGGGAGGGAATCTGCCAGAGGGAGGTGTCTTGATGGCTCAGCTCAAATACATGAGATCGGTAGATAATAGATGTCTAACATAACTTAGGGTCAGCAATAATCATAATTTGAATATGATCAATCCACACTTAAAGGTAAACAGAAGTTTTGAAAGCTGATGATTTTGAAAATGGAACATATGTGTTACAATGTATACTACCAACACAATACTTTTCTCATCAAAGCTGCATGAATGATCAAATTTAATGAATGTAATTCCCAGAGCTAAACGTGAAACAAGTTAATGTTTTCTTCTATAAATGGAAGGAAAAAAATTGTTTTCAAATGAAACCAATATACTATTCCTGCTCTTCTCAATTAATTAAGCAAAACAATAATTTGCCCCAAACTGTTCTATCATAGCTCTTAGTAAAAGCTCAATACATTTTGAAAATTATTCCAAAACACAATTACTCTCAAACAACAAAAAGGAAGATTTAATTCTACAGAATCTGGGCCAACTGAATGAAGAGCAAATAGTAAGCACCTGTAACTAATTTAGGAGATGTTGGAAAGTGATTAAAAAAACAGTAATCCTCAAACTCAATTTAAAAATACTGTAAAACTTAATTATCTTTACTTTCCCTAAGACTAATTACAAACTAACTCTATTAATTTTACACTCTATTCTCTCTGTTCAAAAACAGTCCAGCTGCACTAAAGAAAAGCAGCAAAACAGCTGCTCTTTTCTTTGACAGAAGGGACTCCTGGGGCTAATTTCTAATGAAAACAACCTTTTGATGTTCACCTCTGATAAAAAACAGAAAGGGTCCCAATGACTAAGACTGATGGTCCACTGTATGTAACTTAATTAACGTCTCACTGTTCTTAAATAAAACATCTCATCGACCATATTAATATACTGTATTTCACACACCCCTGACATATGAATTAGTACATGATTTAACATAATACAATGAGTGTATTTCAAAAGATAATGATTATTTAAGACAGAAACACTTGTACTACTGCAAAAGATTCTTACTAAATTGAATTACAAGCCAAAAAATAAGCTCAAATACTACAGTTAAAGATTTTTCTGAATCTATGTCTATTTCAATACCAGTACTGGTATCTCTGTATTTTTAGTTTCCCTTGGAGAATATAGTGGAAGTGTGGAGTTTACGAGAGTATGCTAAAGTGGAATGGTAGCTGGTTGGGAAATCACTAGCAATGAGTACTGAAAAACCAGTACTCCAAAGACAGTCATTATCTTAGAGGGAATTATTAAGCAACCTTTTGTAAGGACTCCACCATCAATTCTACTTTCATCAACATTTTCTTCAATGGATGAAGACATATAAGGCCTTGTCAACAAATTCAGAGAGAAAATAAATTTTTTTTTGTTTATTGTTGTAGTTTAAATGAAGTTTACATTTCAAGTTAGTCTCTCATACCAAAATTTATACATACATTGTTATATGACCCTAACTGCTCTTCCCATACTGTAACAGCACACTCCTCCTTTCCACCCCTGATTCCCCATGTCCATTCAACCATCTCCTAGCTCTCAGACAGGAAATAAATTTGGAGATGATAGAATCAACCTTCAAAAAGATTTTGACAGAATGAAATGACAGATCCAAATAAAAAACGTAAAATCCACAGGAACATGTGCAATCTGATTAGGTTTTAAAAAATCTCTTGGATAAAAGCAGGAGGAGAGAACCAGATTTACAGTACTTAAAGCCAAAAAAGACATCTCAGCTAGTCTCTGTGACATCAACAACATCCAGAATGAGTAGTGTATGGGTATCAACGTGCTACTGCACTACAGAAAATACATGGAGAATTTTGTTCAAAATGGGGCATCATATTTTAACATTGACCAAACGAGTGAAACCAGGAAAACAAAAGGCTTGAAATCATTCACTGAAGACTGGTAGAGGAACTTGGGACAGATGACCTGTAAACAGAAGGTAAAAGGTGTGGGAAGCAGATGGAATGCCATGAAAGCTATTTCCAGCATCATTTAAGGGCTGTCATGTGGAAGAAGACACAGCTCCAGAAAGCAGAGTTACCTTCAGTACAGCAAAATGATGTCTGAAATTGCTTTTTAAACTACCTATAAAGCACTACATAAATGCTAGTAGTTGTTAATGTTAACACTTCCATACATAAAATCTTATTATTAATAACTGACTACAATCATGGATAGAAATATAAAGATGAAAATATAAAGCTCACTTCTAACAATTAGAGCCGACCATATGACTGGAATGTATTGAAAGGAGTGGTCCAAAGGCTCAATGCCCACTTGTCAAGAAGGTTATAGAAAATAATTGGCACATATAAGGTTCAAGTCTAAGGTTATAGAATATACCCATTTTAGATTGTATGCTGGAATAGGGACATATAATCTTTAAAAAAAAAATCTAAGGTTATATAATACGCTTGCATTAGGCATATGCTAGATATATAGGGTCCGTAAGTTCTAATTTTGAAGTCTCTAAGAGTTTTAAATACAATTAAGGAATGCTCTCTCAAAGTTAATGTAATTAGTAGCAACAGCAGTACCACTACTACTACTAATAATAATGACAGCAAAGATTCTCATCCTGCACTATGTACCAGGCACTTTTCTAGGCGTTTTACATATATTGACTTAATTAATCCTTACAACAACCTTATGTAGTATGTTTATTATCCCCATTTTACAGATGAGGAAACCACACAGAAGTAAAGTAATATGCCCAAGTTTGTATGTAATGAAAGTAAAAGCAGAATTTTAATGATCACAGAGTTCTGCAGTGCTGACTTTTTGTTACTGCTATATAATTATTTCCACGTCTTCATTAATATTTTAATTTCTGATTTTTAAATGCCATAATCTTAATAATTTTTTCCCTATACAACATAAAATATCAAAAGTACAAATTCATCTTCAATTAAACCTAAAAAAGTAGTGGAAGTTAACCCTCTTTAAGCAACTACATATTTAATTTCCCCGCAAAAATAGTGCCAGTAGAGAAAAAGTCGTAACTAGATGTCTTGTGATTTCAAAGCTTAACTGAGCAGTAAGGTTTATTAATTTAGAGTGTTGATGGATGGGCTTCCCGACACTGCTGAATCATTTAAATTGTATGCCAAGTTTTACGGATGTGGGGTCTGCAGCTTTCATATAATTCCTTCTCAAAGGAATCTGATTTAGGTGTTTCTCCCTTCTTTCTTTAGGAAAATTAAGACATTTAGCCTCATTTGTTCCTGTAATTCTTAGTTTATTATTAGGGTAATTTTTAGTTTATTATTATGGTCTTTAGATTCTATGATAAAAGAAGAATGTTAAAGTACTCGACAATAATTTTAATCTAAATAATCTCAATGCTTGATTATTTTAGTATTCATGAATATCTAAGCTTTAACTTTTACAAAATCTTGTCAAAAATAAAAATACACTGGCCTGAGAAAGACTGGAGAAACCTTGAGAGTATGGCCCCCGGACACCATTTTAGCTCAGTAGTGAAGTCGCTCCTGAGGTTCACCGTTCAGTCAGGGACTGGACAGCCCCATAAAACAAAACAGGACTACTGAGGCACAGCAGTCCAGGGACAAGGACTAGAAGGCAGGAGGGACCGGAAAGCTGGTGATAGGGAACCCAAGGTCAAGAAGGGACAGTGTTGACATGTCGTGGGGTTGTTAACCATTGTCATAGGGCAATATGTGTACTGTTTAATGAGAAACTATTTGTTCTGGAAACCTTCATCTAAAGTACAATAAAAAAAAAATTTTAAAGAAAAAAAAATGTGGACATTACAGGTAGACACCAAAAAAAAAACCAAACAAACAAACTCGACATAATACAAATATAGAAACTAAAATTCCACAAATAGACTATGTACTTCTTTTAAAAATGTTACTGAGGTTTCTCAAGGAAACTTAATAAAAACTGACTACATACTAGGCCAAAATGAAATCTCAATACCTTTCAGAGATATGGTATTCTAAAGACTATGGTTTTTACAGTGATGAAATTAAATTAGAAATCATCATCAACAGTAACAAAAGCATAAAAGCATAGGTAAAAAGCCTATAGCTGATAATTAAAAACACATTCCTAAGTACTTCACGTCGCAATTTATACGTGCAAATGAGAACAATAAAGCAATATTAAGGAAATTTCTAGAAAAAAAAAGTTATTTCCAACTGTGAAACCTTTTGAAAACGAAAAGCAAAAGTACATTATATTGAATTCCAAAATAATTTCATCATTGTTTTCTTACCAGGTAATGACTCTTTTGCATCATCATCTTTAGATTCTTCTTTAGGGTCAGCTATTTCGGTGCTATTATATTCAGGTGACTGATTAACGGGTTCACAGGGGTGAACTATCTGTTCGTCCGTAGCTTTAAGTCATAAGAAGATAAATATGTTTGGACAGGAAAAGTGAAATCCATAAATATTGTGATATGCGTGGGAAAGGAAAATTGAAACACGCCAAAAGAAATTCCACATTCCCAAACACCATTTAGCAATAAACTTGGGGGTGATGTCTATAAGCATTAGACATTATAAAAATAAATACAGCTGTCGAAATGATATTTTTATCAGAATTTTAAAAAGACATTTTATGAGAATTTTAGAGCATGAAATACAAGTCTAATTCAAGGCCCATGATTCAGTAAGCTACAACGAGAAAAGGAGTTTTAATTATTTATATTAAAATTAACTTCTAGTTTACTACTAAAATTCTAAGTAAACAGATTATATTAATAAAAATAATTAAAATACAGGCAGAGCTTTTATAAGCCCCTAAAAAGGCAACTTAAGTATTTAGAACATAAGTTGTTAAGGAAATAGTTTCCATATTTTTCAAAGTAGTTTACAGGTTTGATTTTCTTTAATCAAAGAATTTAACAGTTTCCAATTAAATAAAAATACTAAATAACAGAAATATTATAAACTAATTTTCAATTTTAGTCCAATGTTTCAAGTGCACTTTAAGTATTTCTGAGATTTTATTTTATGCGTCATTAATATGCTGATCCTTACTACTAAATCAAGAAATATTGCTAGTACAAATTTCATTTTAATGGCTTTATCTTCTATCTTGACTTCAAAAACTTTAAGTGTGTCCAGTCCGACCAATGTGAAAAATATTATCCTTGCCATCCAAATGCTGCTAAATTATTCAAAAGCTGATTTTGTTCATTGTGTACCTTTTTTGGCTTGTTCAATGACTTGCCTCACTGCTTTCTTTAAACTGTTTGCCCGCAACACGATTTCCGTCGGTTTGATGGTCTTCTGTGAGGATGTAACGTCATCTGTGAGTTGTTCCTTGCTCTCACACAAGGATTCTTCACTTGAAGATTCCACAGGATCTTCTTCCACAATGACAGGGCGCACGCCTGGAGGTAATGGAAGCTCCTGGGCCTCCGTGTGCAAAGCCTGGAGCAGTTGTTCAAGCTTCTCATTTAGGACTGAACACTACGGAAAGAAAAATAACAGTAACGAGGAAGAAAATAGGAAAGAAGATCAGCAGGAAAAATATGAGAAATTGTAAAGTAAGATGTTTTGAAAGTTTAATCACTAGAGGAAACACTAAAATTCACACGTTTACTACATTTAATTTTGTAGGTGTTTTCGTTCAGGAAGCACGTAATCTGCATTTATGGGAGATGGGAAAAATGGTATTTTAAATTTATAGGGAAGGTGTCCCTGGGTGGTGCAAATGGTTAACGCACTGGCTGCTAACTGAAAAGTCAGAAGTTTGAGTCCACCCTGAGGGACTCGGAGAAAGGCCGGGTGATCTACTTTCAAAAATTCAGCCATTGAAAACCCTAAAGAGCTCAGTTCTGCTCAGACACACATGGGGTCACCATGAGTTGGAGCTGACTGGACATGAACTGGAAGAAGACGTTTATAGGGAAGAAGCCTATATGGGTGTTTACTATTAATGGGTTATCTGTTATAATCATACTTTAAACAGTTTATGGGCTAAATAATTTATAATTTTTATAAAACAACAAAATAGCACGATTTTTATGTAAATGTCATAGATTAATACTTCCAGAACCATTCAGACTCCATTTCATGGGTAAAAATTTTTATAATCTTTGCAGAGGTTATTTTTCCTTAGAAGAAAGTAACATATATTTTACTATCAAGTGACACATTACACAAAAATCATACATTACACAAAATTTGCTATATGTTACACAAAAAAACTATACAAACTTCTTTTTTTTAAAAAAAAAAGTAATCAATTTATGGCACCATTTTGAGCATCAAAAACATAAGCTTTGCTTTATGGAGTGAACAGCCCTGGAGGGGTTATGGGCTCTAAGAAAGAACAAAAAGGAAAATGCACAAGGATAAAAAGGGAAAAGAAGGGAGAAAGATAAGTAAGCACTCTGTCCTTGTTTTTTTTATTTTTTTTATTTTTGCTTTTCTTGAATTACTGGGGTAAAGAAACATTTAGGACTGAATCTGCTGATGCTACCTCTTAATATACCTTTGATCTCCACACAATTTCCAGTCCTTTCCTCTTATATTTGTCTTTGATGACATGCCAAGACAAAGTTATAGCAGAAATAGTTCAGAGAAAAAAGTGTGGCTAGAGAGGGTTTCTGTTTTTTGAAACTCTCCACAGAGCAGAAAAATAAGAGAAAGAGGCTGAAACCTGCAAAAGTATGTTTATTTCTATTCTCTTTTCCTTCCACTCAATTAAAACTCCACAGATAGTGTGAATGGGGCCGGGGGTGGGGAGAAGCTGATTCCTTTCTAAGCCCAATATAACCAGGCCCTTCCTAAGAATGTTCTGTCATGAACTTATGCAAGCAGTAACAGTAGCTTTTGAGGTTCAGTAAAATGTTCTTATTTTAGCCACAGAAAGCTCATGAAGGGGGCAAAAAACAATCTGTAAGGAAAAAGGCAAGGCAAGAAACAGAACCCTGAACGGGAAGAGGACTATATAGCACCTGGGGTGTTCTAAAAATGATGCTGGGAGGAAGCTGGATTGACCGAACTGGCCTAGAAATGCAAAGCCCTTCCTCTCCTGGCTGCCCTCCTGTGACCTGACTACTGTGCATCTCAACTTCAAGAGGTCAATCAGTGGGAGAAGGGATTTAAGCTACAAAATTCAGCCTGTCAAATGGTTTTCAACAAGGCAATTTTCCTACATATTAAAGGGTAACCATAAAATAGAATATTAAAAAAAAAAATCTTATATCTGATTTGAAAGTAATTTTTCTTTTGATTTAAAATGTTTGGTAGAAAACCCACTTAGATCAGTTTAGCATTAAAACACAGTTCAATGTTAACACTGTCAGTAAAACCCTGAACATGTCCCTCTTACTTTACTGGCCATGGCATCCGCATCAACGGAATTTTCCAACGTTTTTCCATATTCCTTCTCTACTTTGGCAACGAAGTCCTTTACAGTTTCACACAGTATGCTTGGAGGAAAAGAAAGTGTACACTTCAGTAAACTTAGGAGGTTCATTTCCTTGGATTTATAAGCATATTTAAAAAGAAGGACAATTAGCCAAACTATCAAAACTAGCTGGATCATAAATAAATCCATACTTCTACTTGCTGTGTAACAGGTCCTAGATTAAGTTCAAGACATTCTAAATGATAACTTGGGTAAAAAAGAAAACTTGCTCTACATAATTTAAATAAAACAAGACTTTCTCAAATACTTAAATTCTTGAGAAGAATACTTTCAGATCTTATTAAAAAACAAAGCATTATTTTCTGCAGCTTATATATTTTCAGCAGGAACCTGCAGTGTTGAAACAAGGATAAGCACGTTGTCAATGCTGCTCTACTATTCATTACATGGGTATCTTGGCAATACATTGTCAAGAGAAAAGAGACTGTGTGTTTTCCTGAGAACCAACCAGCCACTTGAGTTACATTCTCTAAAAATCCATTCATTTTTTTCCCTTAAGATAACTATTTCAATAACATGCAAAACTAATTGATGTCTTGTTACTGTTAGCAATATATATAGTTTGTTTTTTTCTTCTAATTACATTTCATTTCTTTGCCACAGAAATAAACTAAAAGAAAAAAACAATCTGAAACACTAAGAATATTTGTCTTTCAAATGTCCTCGGAGCTGCTGTTGGATTAAAAACAATAGCCAACAAAATGGTATATGCCCTTGCTAAAAAAAAGTTGGAGGCCTATACAGTAAATGTTTGAAAAATGAATCAGTATGTTTTTAAATCATCGCACAGGTATTCCCTCCTTTTTGAAAGTTCGGTTTACGCCACTTCACTTTTACAAAAGACCTGCATTAGTACATTTTCGCTAACCGAAAAAATCTGAAGAGGATTTTTGCTTTTACGAAGAAAAGCGAAAACAGCACTTAGTAGGAGAGTCACACTTGTTTTCAAGCGAGATGCTTGGTGAAGCGTCAACATCAACGCATTCACCGCCCATTTCACACAGCGGCATGACCAAGCTCCTCCTTTTAAACTCCTCTGCCCTTTCTGAACGACCCAACCATATCCAATCAAATGCCTGGTGAGGTATAAACGCACCATACATCGTGGGATCCCATCCTCGACTTGCCGTCCCTTATCATTTCTCTAACCATGGGACTCATCCCCCGGCACACACAGTTACTATAAATTCCACTCTTCTGGGGGATTCAAACCCCGGCCCTTCAACCCAGCCCCGTGTGCCAATGCCAGCCAGGCTACCGGTGCTACCATCATTACCCCCACCCCCTCTCAGCCTTCCAGTGTGCTTGCTGTCTTCCCGATCCTGATAAGTGAAGCTACACGGTACATACATTATTTCTACTTCATAAAGGCTGTGTATTTGTCATATCATTCCTGATTTTACTATATGTTAGTGTTATTTTAGGTTTTCTGTGTTATTTGGTATGATTTGGTAGGTTGTTTTGGGGGTCTGGGAACGCTCACAAATTTTTCCCATATAAATTAATGGTAATTGCTTCTTCGCTTTAAACCATTCCAGCTTAGGAAAGGTTTCACAGGAACACTCTACTTTCGGAAAACTTTCAGATACAGTGGGGGAAACCTGTATATCTCGCTTTCATTTTATATAGGTTAAGGAATTTGGGAGGAAAAAAAAAAACAGGATCCAGTAGTTATTTTTTTCTATTATACTCCGTTTTCTCTGGCATGTGAGTGGCATAATGGTAAGTTTACAGATACTTTAATTTGAAATTGAAACATTCAATAGACACATGACACACACCCCAAACCTTCATATTTATCACCTAGGAAATAAATTTATTACTCCTAGCAATGTTTGTTTGCTGCTTTTTCGGCAGCCATTTCTAGACTTCACTTGGCCAAAAGGTAACATTTCCTGACGCTTAACTTTTCTGATAGCTTTTTAAACGCAGATTTCTACAGAGACTCTAATTTACCAGATATGAGAGTTGTCTTCATGTACTTCGAACCAAGTGTTGTCTTCTTTATTCATGTAAAATACCTTATGGAATGCCTTGAAATACTAAGGCAGGCCATCAAGAAATCTGCTCTACGTGCTTTACTGAGAATTTCTCTACGATGTCCTACTTCTAGGCAGAGGAGACACTGGCATTCTGTAATTCCAAAATGAAGGCTGTTCTTGCTATTGTTGTCACACTGTCTTGACAGAACTTTTTCTTGGATTTGTGAAATTACACACGCCATCACTTTATCATCACTACTTTTGTTGATATTTTATTAACTCCCAGAAACCCAACACTAGGGATCAGAGGAGAGCCTAGACAAGGAGCCAGACCAAGGCCAGGGAAAACATTTGAAATGGATTTGGGTGAAACTCGAGGTAATGGTACCACAATTTAATACAGTACTCTGTAGTTTTATAAGCTCTATATTTATTTTGGGAGCCCTAGTGGCGCAGCGGCTAAGAGCGTGACTGCTAACCAAAAGGCTGGCAGTGTGAATCTATCAGGCGCTCCTTGGAAACTCTATGGGGGCAGTTCTACTTTGTCCTGTAGGGTCACTATGAGTCAGAATTGACTTGATGGCAACAGGCTTGGTGTTTTGGTTTTTGGATACTGATTTTATTATTATCTAATTCTCCCAATAGTTTCATGAGGAAGGAAAGATAGGCGTTCTTTCCATTCTTGAAAAAGACCACGAAGCTAGCAAATGGCTGAGTCTCAAGTCGGACCCCAGACTTTACTCCTCTTTAGTACAACACTGGGGTCTACTCCAGTGTTTTTAAAACTGTTCTCCAGAGATACCTGAAGGGCTCCACAAATGCATGACTCAATTTCTTATCAAAATACAGAGTATAATTTTTTAAATGCTCAAATGACCATCAGAGACATTCGAGACAAATAATATGTTAATTTGTACTTTGGCATAAACTACTTTCTGTGCAAATCTTGGACTAAAGCATCATCTGCCATTTTAATTTAATTGAAGACAATTTCCTTACAACCATGTGACCAAAATAAAATACAGACATAGTTGAAACTGCATTGAATATTGAGACTGTCATCGATAGATAACCTTATTGCTTTATTATTCTTATAAGCTATTTTAATAATTAAACTTATCCAATTTATTAATGCCAATAAAACAGAATTTTTATTTTTTTTAAAAATTGGGATTCTGTTTAAGATTTTACTTGCAAAATGGTTCCCACTGCTAAAAGTGTTACATCACACAGGTATTGAAATTAAGAAAGAGAGGGAGACAAAGGGGGGCTACTATCATGCTCCTGTTTACATCTGTCAACACTTCATGTCATTAACTCAATTTAATTTAAAAAAAATATACAAAATGTATAGGAGGTAGTGATGAAGCACATCAGATACATGAAGGTCAAGATAAAGGTTTTGCTAATATCTAAACTATGAAAAATGACCAAATAAAAGATTCGCTTAACTTTCTTAAACAAAGAATAATTCTTTTACAACTTGTTATACTTAAAAGAAGTTTCCCTTTCTAATGTCTACAGAGACTATGCAGGTAACCTCAGTGTATGAATTGGGCCTAGGACGAGAAAGAAATAGGGAGTGTTGGGCCTGGGGCAAACTGATTTGTACACTTCAATCAAAGGCAATACAATTCATTTTAAAAGAGCAAAACAAAACAAAAACAAAGACAAAAAGACAGCAACAGCGTCCATCAAACACAGAGTGTCTGCAGCCCACCTCTGCCTGGCCCACCAGCATGCTTCCCTGCAATTAAGCCATTCAACTCTTTACCTTTGGCTCCATCTTGTTGCCTAAACTTGGGGGTTATGTTACCAAAAGCAATTGTTACTACATCTGTACTTCTGTCACAAGCAAACTTGTGTATAATGACTTGTCTTTCCTTGGCTTCTTTGTAAACTAAGTATGTAATATGCTCAAAAGTATTTGTCCTTACACTATTTCCCATCTCCCCTTGTTTTTCCCCTCTCTTTCTTCACAAAAATAGTACCATTTGCTTCTCAGCCAGAATCCTAAAGACTTGCTTGTCAGTCGAAAAGTGACTCTTCTCGACAGTTCTCATACCATCGGTATAGGATGCTTTAAACTAAATTCTAACTTCCAGCCAGACAACAGTTTGGATAATAAAATCAAGCAGCTTTGGCTCCATGTACTAAATCAACTTAACTAAAATCTGATAACTTTGAATTAAAATATAATTCTTCCATTTAAACATGCTGAGAACTGAGAAATGTCATTTTGAAAAATCTCATCATGTTTTTTTCCCTTTACCGATACAAACAGTAAACAGTAGTGTTTATGGAAATAACAAATTATAATGAAAATATTTTCCATATTACAATTAATCATAAATATGCCTTTAAATATAAACTTAGATTAACTAAACTCTCAACCCTTATTGCATCTTTTTGACAAAAAAGGTTCAAATTAAGCATCAAAAAATATACTTTCTAAATGTACTCCACTGCAAAATAAGATGCTAAAAGTGGTTTTGAAAAATCAACTCATATCTAGTATATCTAATTCTACAGGTTACTTCACAGATTTTTTTTTGGAAAAGAAAAATGCCAAGGAATGAGAGCAATGGTAGAAACCCCCTTTCCTTTCATTTATACCGTACTTCACGACAAACTCTGCACTCACTTTGCAGCTGATACGACCACTGCTTGCTCATCAGTATCGAGGATTGTTTTTAGATGAGTTGCAACCGAGTCTTCATAAATTGTCATCTGAAAAAAGAAAAAAACAACAAACCATGCCGTATTATCATTTCTGGCATTTATACAACTTAGTTATTACTGCTTCAAAAATGGAACAATTTCACATGAGTCAGGGCAATGGCTATAAAAATATATAAAAAGAGGTGTTACACAAAACAGATAAATATTTCCTTCCTGTGAAAGAGTCTCAGTTTCTGGAATTCTTTAGTTTGTATTCTTAGAAAAATCGATGGAAAAAAACCTTTTTTAAATTTTAAAAATGTTAAGTAGCTAAATGTATAAAGAATTCCCACCAATCAGTACAAAGAAGTCAGACAACCTAATTTAAAAATAAGAAAAAAAAAAAAAAAAGAACTCATACACTGCTGGGTAAGAGTACAAACTGATGCAAACACTTTAGAAAACTGTTGGTACTATCTATTAAAGCTGAACATATGCATACATACTGTAAACCAACCAGTCACTGTCTAGTTGACTCTGACTCATGGCAACCGTGGGTGTGTCAAAGTAGAACTATATAAGATTTTCAATGACTGACTTTTCAGAAGTAGATCACCAGGCCTTTCTACTGAGGCATCTCTGGGTGGACTCAATACCACCCGGGGACTCCATACATACTGTAGGACTCAGCAATTCAACTGCTACATATATACCCACAAGAAATGCAGACGTGGGTTCACCAAAAGACACGTACTAGAATGTTCACAGCAGAATTTACTCAATAGGAGAATGGATAACAAATTTCAGTATACTGGTGCAAGACAGAAATCCTAGGCAATGAGAATAACTGATTGACAACTATGCCACCATATAGATGAATCACACACAATGTTGAGTGAAAGAATCTAGAAACAAGAGAGTGCAGCAGAATGATTCCATTTTATAAAGTACAAAAATAGGCAAAATGAATCTATACTGTTAGAGGTCAGGACAGTAGTTATGGGGGTAGAGGACAGTAGCTGAAAAGGGGCACATCAGGCCTTGTGAAGGCTGGTAATGCTGTCTTACAATCTGGGTGCTGACTGCATGACTTTGTTTAGTTTGTGAAAACTCTAAGCTCCGTTTATGAAATGTGCACTTTTCTGCATGTGTTATACCACAGTCAATAAAAAGTTAAAAAATGCTGAATGTAGTATCAGACAACCATGTAAACAAACATTTCTCTCAAATAATGAAATAATCGAAGTGCCAACAGTCCTATATCTTCCTTCTGTTTGACTCAAACATTAGCATCCTGTTGAAAGAACACATCTTCCTAATGTGTAAAAATGGGTGCAATATATAAACTGCCTCATATTCAGAGTCTTCTCTGAATGTTTGCCTCAAACGTATTCCATGCCGCACAGCTCAAAAATTTCCAATATAAACCACCTGCTTGCTCTGTTCAATCTGGCCGATGCTCTTCTGCATTACTCAAATACCCTTTCACTGCTTTTCACCAACTGGAGTCAGTTTATTCAGACTTTATTGAAGATTCAGTTAGCTCCCTTTCCTGACTGGCTTCTTTCCAAAGGAATCTCATTCCTAATCTACATTCAAGTCTATCAGTCACTAGTCAGAATGTTACTCTTTTAAATTTCTAATTTATTTCCTTCAGAGGCAGACCACATATGGAAAAGGAATTTTACATAAAAATAGAAGGGGAAGCTAGGAACCCCAAAGTTACATACAACAGTATATACTGACCACAAATCCACTTCATTGATCTTCTGGTCTATACACTAAAAGCTGCACACTTACATTTACAGTTAAATTCAGAAAAATAAAAATACATCTCCTAAAAAAGCAAAGGAAGGAAACACTCTGGAGAAGGACGAGTTTTGTTTCTCTTCCCTACAAGGTGGACTGCCATAAAGCCTAAGAAGGTGGGGGAAAATGTTTTAAACTGTAATTAGTGCCACTGGAATTTATATTTAAATATGCAAGCTTCTGTTCGTTAAAAATATTCCATGATAAATAAGGCAACCCCTTTCCTCAAAAGAAAATAAAATAACGTCTATGCCCCAGAATACAATTACACATGTCACTTATTAATTTATTGTATAGTCACTTATGGAGCCCTGGTGGTGCAGTGGGTAAGAGCTTGGCTGCTAACCAAAAGGTTGGCAGTTCGAATCTACCAGCTGCTCCTTGGAAACCCTATGGGGCAGTTCTACTTGTCCTATAGGGTCGCTGTGAGTTGCAATCACCTTGATGGCAAGGGGTTTGGTTTTTTTTTTCGGTTTTATAGTCACTTAGCAGGGTCAGGAAGATAGGTAATAATAACAGTTGACATTTTTATCGTGTTCCACCCGTACTAGCTGCTGTCAAGCCAGTTCCAACTCATGGCGACCCCACTGTGTCAGGGTAGAATTGTGCTCCATAGCGTTTGCAACAGCTGACATTTGGGAAGTAGATTGCCAGGTCTTTCTTCCAACGTGCCTCTAGGTGGACTCCAATCAGTTAACAGTAGAGTGAATTAACTGTTTGCACTACCCATGGACTTATAGTGTACTGAACACTGGGACAGCACTATGTGTATATTTACTCCACTAATTCCCCTGCTTTACAGCCAAGGGTCCCTGGGTTAATAAACAAGCACTAGCTTAACAAACAAGCTAATAAACAAACATCAGCTGACTTACTAGACTTGTGTGACTACGGATTGAGATATATACATGGATGGCTTGGGAAAAGCTTATAATGTAATTGGAAAGCAATAGGAACCTGGCTTTTAAGAAATAAACAAGGCCAGAGGGCTTTGATACTAAAATGCTCATTCTTCCAACAGGGGTTGGTATTCAGATTAAAAATTAACAACCAGAATTTTTTATTAACTGTTGACTTTGTGCCAGGCACTCTGCCAGACGGCAACACAATGGTGAATGAGTAATACACAGGGCCTGACCTTTAAGGCATGACAGTACCAAGATAACGGAAGTTGAAGCGGGCTATGGCAGTAATCAGGAAGGGCAGAGGACTAGGACTTGGGAGATGAAGAAAGGTACCTGGTGAAAGCGATACCTACGCTGAAACCTGGGGGGGAACAAGAGTGAGCTAACAAGCGTGATGCCAGTGGAGGGGTACAGTACTTATCCCAAAGGGTTAGAAGAGAGAGAGAACGTAATGGCGTAGGGATTCTACATTTAAATGTAAATAACACATTTTATAATATTGAGTATTGTTAGACAATGGAATCATTGTTACTGAAAGAAATCACAGAATCATAATGTCTAAGAAGTACAACAGCAAACAAAACGGCTTAATTATGGCCGTAGGGAATTAATAGAATTGTCATGATGCCTTAAGCTCTATGATTCTATGACATCAACTGAATGCTAACAGTAAATAAGATAATTAGGGCAAGCGACCACATTTTGTGTCATTTCAAGGAAAACTGAAAAAGCAGTAATTTCACAATCACATATAGAGGAATCCAAACTGAATACTTCATTTAAAAACATAAATAAGCTAGAAAGTTACAATGAGCCCAAGAAGGAAGGTTGAGCTTACTTGTATTTAGCTTACTTGATAGCATGGTATTACCTGCTGTTGCTGCTATTGGGTGCTGTTGAGTCAATTTGGACTCAGTGACCCTATGTGACAGAGCAGAACTGCCCCATAGGGTTTCCTAAGCTATAATCTTTATGGTCTTTTTCCCATAGAGCCACTGGGTGGGTTCAAACTGCCAACCTCTCAGTTAGCAGCTGAGCACTTAATCCTTGTGGCACCAGGGCTCCTTATGGTATTACTAAGCAGCTAGAAAAAAGAATGGAGGGGTTTTCAAGACCAAAAGGTCACACATGGTAAAGTGCATTTCTGGTGTCAGACAGAGGGAGTGCCCAGGCCTTGATCAGGGTGCTGCTGAACGCTCATTTAACCTGCAGTCTTATGGTATGCTATTCCTTTGCTGTGAAGGTAAGTTTTAATAAGAAGCCAAAATAAGCAGTTTCAGTCAAAATTCTTTTGCACTAAACAAAAAGAGGTTTCCTTCATGTAGTTACAATTGTACCTCATATTTAGTGATTATATATAAATGATAAAAGCAAAGTATCTACCATTATCTTATATACTAGGAAACAGGCATCTCTGAAATAGGTAGAACGAAAGAATTCTCCCCCTTGTCTTTCTGAAGAGGAAATCAGTAACATAAAAATACTATTAAACAAAAAGACTGGTTTTCTACAAAAATGCGTTATGTTTCAAGTCAGATAAAGTAGTAGAAATAAAAATGCTGTAGGAAATACATGTTTTTAAATACTGATGATCTCTGAGTGATTGAACTATAAGTGATTTTCATTTTCTTTTTCATGTAATTTTGTATTTTCCAAATTTTTTAGAAGCAGGTTTTTCCACTTTGATATCAGAAAACAATACAATTAGCATCTTTAAGGAATAGTCTCATGTTTCTAGTTATCATTCTTTTCCTTAGCCTTGACAAGATCATAATTTTCTTAATGACAACACAAAGATTTCAATTGTAAAATAAACAGATGATTTTCCCGAGAGGGAAGAAAAAGCTATTATAGATCAAATGGTCTTAATGACTCAGAGAATAATCCTTTGAAAATCAGGTTCTGTTTTAAATTTCTAAAGGCTTTGAGGTTTAATCAGAATGCTGAATCTTTTAAAAGGTTTAAAAAACTTGAGTCATTTATGGTTGGTAGCAGGCATGGAATGAAGTGAGCTCTCTTTCTTCCTTGATCAACAGTCTGCACCTAGAGACCTGTCCTGATGCACTCTCGAAGAGCAGGCAGACTGTTAAGAGAGAAATCACAGAATATTCTGGCCACAGTACTGGCGTGCTTGGAGACTGTGTAAAGGAGCTGGCTGCACCTAATAATCGAATCAGTGCTCTTAGTCAAAGCAGAAGATGAGCAAAGGCCAACAAGAAACTGTCATCAGTCGGTTCTGTGACAGGTGGCCTTCTTTGGAGCCTTGTTGGTAAAGAGGAAGCAGGCAGGTAGAATATTCAAGGAGAACCATCAAGGACAGGCCACCTGTCTGTCAGTTTGTGGTACTGTGGTGGCGTGCGTGTTGCTATGATGCTAGAAGCTATACCACCAGTATTTCAAATACCAGCAGCATCACCCATGGTGGAGAGGTGTCAGTGGAGCTTCCAGACTAAGACAGACTAGGAAGAAAGGTCTGGCGATGTACTTCTGAAAATCAACCAATGAAAACCCTATGGATGACAACCCCATATATATTGTCCAATCTAGTGCTGGAAGATGAGCCCCCTAGGTTGGAAGACATTCAAAATACACAGTGGCCTTAACAATGGACTTGAGCACACCAATGATGGTGAAGATAGCTCAGGACCAACAATGTTTCCTTCTGCTGTACAGAAGGTCACCCTGGTCACAGCTGATTCGACAGCAACTAACAACAACATCAAGCACAGGAGAAGGGGAATTCGCATGCCTGGTGCTTTACACACGTTCCTCACCTCATTTAATCCTTACAACATTGTAGCCTCCCTTTACAGATGAAGTAACCAAGGCACATGAAGGTGAGGGACTTGCCTAAATTCACACTCCCAGTGTGAGTAGTCAAGGGAAGACTCTAAGCTAGATCTGGAGGATTCTTTTCTTTGGGCAGAGGACTAGAAGTAGTCAGTCATACCCAATAATATAAATAAAATTAGCCAGACGGGCGACTGTATTTTATCAGTAGGTTTTCTTATTTTTCAGTATATTTACCCTCATTTCACATGATTAATAGGTAAAAGGTTCTTACATAAAATCCTGCAGATTGTCCTGGAGGTCCTGGAAGTAGAGGAGCTTTTGGTGGCAATTTGAGTTCATATGTCATTATACTCCACCTGAAGGGGAAGAAATTATTTGGTCTAAAAAAATCCCTTTAAAATTTAATCAACTGACTTAGTTCTCCTTCTATATTATACATATATACTCACAGTGACCCTACAGGACAGAGTAGAACCGTCCCATAAGGTTTCCAAGGAGTGGCTGGTGGATTCGAACTGCTGACCTTTTGGTTAGCAGCTGAGCTCTTAATCACTGCACCACCAGGGCCCCAATATAAACATATATATTTATATGTATGTATTCATCAACTATGATTTAATTGTAGCTTAAAACCACCAAAAATAATAGGAGCGATGAAATTTTGGGAATCTCATAAAATACTTAATTTATGATTTCCACATCTTACCATATCTCTGATTGATGGCTTCCAAGTTCGTTAAGACCATGGCCCACAGCAAGAAATGCACATAAGAAATCTTCCTTTCCTCCGCAGAGGCAGCACATTCTGGCTTTTCTATTTCACTTCTTAAATAATGCTCCTTGTAATTTACTAACTAAATTACACAAGTTATTAATGGGTCAGAACCCAAAGTTTCTAAAACAATTGTTTTAGATTGAACGCCTACTGTCTATAAAAAACAAATCACCCTCCATGTAACAACCACCCTTACCAAACCAGCTAACATAAACATGAAATGAAAATTAGCTAAATACACCTTCTTAAATTAAGAAAGAAAGTAAGCATGGGATTAAGCAGAAAATATCAACAGAAGTAATATGAATACTTAATTGATGCACACTTATTTCAGTTAGCTGTAAATACTAATTTCAAATCAAACACATGAATCATTTGGTGTTAAGAGAAAAGCAATCAATTTAGGATAAGTCACGTCTTCTACCCAAAATAATCATTTCAAAATTGGGAGGAACAACTATGTCATTATTATAGAGTAACAGGATGTGAATAAAAATTTTACAAAGACCCAAAGCATAATATAATAAACGCAGCCCCACAACACAGGCATTCTGAGAACAGCACATCACAGCTGAAGCCTGTGACAGAACCTACAGGAAAAGCTCAAGATTGGCATCAATATTTAAACAGAGTCTAGTCTATAATTCAGACTAATTGGAATAAGTCTTTACATATAAAACCCCAATTCCTAGAAAATCCCCCAAAAACATAGATTATATGTTAAAATATGTAAACTGAATAGTTACTTGCAACTACTAATCAACTACTGAAATGTAGATTTGAGAACAACAAGCTATTCATTCATTCATCCATGCGACTATTTATTTAATGCTTCTAAGTGATAAACACTACTCCAGGGCCTGTAGATACAGTGGGAAGAAGGCTCCCCTCACAAAGCTTATATTCTAGTGAAGGAAACAGATATAAGAGCACAAGCAAGCAAACAGGATAATAAACCTTTGTTAAATATCCAAATAGGGAAAACTACAATTGGAAACATAAACATCAAGGGCCTTCTAACTGGAAACACTTCTCTGGTCAAAGGATAGTCAAAGACAGGAAAGAAATCCACGCCAGCTCCTTGAACCTTCCGTGCTGAACCTACCCCCGGACAGGAAGTGGCTGAGCGGACGAAACAGGAGAAAACTGCAGCTTGAGGGAGGAAAAGAGGCGTGTTGGTACCAGCTAAGCACAGTTAGACGCTGGAAGGTAAGGGCCCCATCTGCTAAGTATGTACGTTAAAGGGGAAAACCTGGAACTGGGGTCTGGGGTCTGGTTCAGAGTGCCAGTTCGACCACGTTTTAGCTATGTGACTTTGACAATGTAAAACCCTCCTGAGCCTTTTTATCTGTAAAAGAGAAATGATAATATAAGGTAACTCTAGGAGTGTACTGATGAATAGATGAGATGCTGTACAGAGTAAAGCAACCCGAAGTGCCAAGCAGACAAAAAATGTTAGTCATTCTTACTCCCATTGTTTCTGCAGGCCTCAATGTTCATCTTTTTAAAATAGTCATAACGCTTTTCTTAGTCACCCCACAGGGTCACTCTGAAGACCAAGTAAATTAATACATATTTAAAAAGCTTATATAATTTGGAATATTTTTAAAGATTTTTTTTCCCACCTGTTCTTCACAAATAAAACCAGTAAAAAACAAGCTGCTGTCGAGTCAGCTCTAACTCATGGCTACCCCACGTGTGTCAGAGTACAACTGTGCTTCAGTGTTTTCAACGGCTGATTTTTTGGAAGTAGACTGCCAAGCCTGTCTTCTGAGGAGCCGCTAGGTGGACTCAAATCACCAACCAATTTGAGGTGCAGCTGAGCACGTTAACTCTTTGCACCACACATGGACTCCTCTTTACAAATAATATTTCTGAATTAGTAACTAAAACACAGGGAAACAAAATATGCTATGTTTCTAATAGTGAATCATTATCATCTAATAATAAATCCCCTTTGGTTTTATTGTGTGTGTGTGTGTGTTTTCCTGCAAGTCCACATCATTGAATTTCACCATGGGGTGTTAACCATCCTAGAGAAGGAAATTTTTCTAACACCCACGGGAGAAGCACGCATGCAGGGTAGAGGAGAGGAGAAAGCCTGGAAGCACTTCCTAAGATGTACTGGGAATGGAATTCAGATTTGCAGCAAAGAAACCATTTAAAATACTCCATGCTGTCTGGTAAGCACAGAATTGAATGGCTTTCCAGGAAATCATATGCGGGCTCTTCTAAATATGGGAGACTGAATCCAGCTTCCCACTGGAGCATACGCCAAACTACCGGGGTATCGCTGTCACGCAGTTATGAATACACATAGACAAATTCTCTACTGCCCAGCTCTCTTTTTAAGCAGTCATGTCCCGTCAGGAGAATAATCAACCATTACAACATTACTTCCTGTCAGGCCAGGTTACAATTAATTAGATTACAGCTCATCTTTGAATCCTTACATTTTAGATTGTTGGCTCCCTGATGAGATTTTGGTTATTTATTCTGGGGACAGTTCCAAAGATGGCTAATCCTATCCAAGTTGGGCTGATTTATGCTAGCTCAAATTTACAATATTTTCTGACATTTGTCTTCTTACTTATGGGGGAGAGGTGGTGTAGTCACTGTTTACTAAGTCCTGTTGTTCCCTTTACCCAAATTCTAAATACATCCTCCGTAATACTCGTGGGATACACATTCTCATTTCTTTTTTATGCACCGGGGATTCAGAGAGAAAGCAGTTCAGACATTAGATCAAGGAGAGCAGAAACTCAGCGGTAGTTCCTTCATATGAGGTTGTCTTCCCAATACTTCTGGGTCAATTCATTCTTAATAGGTACAATTAAGAAGAGATATTCTAACAATTCTAAAATTTATATGTCTTTATAGCTTTTCTGAAATCAAAAGATGATGGTGCTATACTTATTACACTTGTCAGAAACCACTCCTCCCCAAATTAACTATTTTAGCTTTCTGACCTGAAGAGGAATTAAGAGTATTTAGTACCAACATAGCCTTCTACCTTTAAAATAATGGGTTCATCAGGTTAGTTGTCTCAGTTTTTGTTCCAATTCATTCATTCACTCTAAAACAATACTTACTGAGTGTCTACTGTGTCCTAGGCCCCAGGGATGCAACAGACAAGACCAGGAAGTCTTTGCCTTCATGGGGCTTACAGTCAGTAAAATTTAGGAGAGAAGGGAGATTCATTGCTTAAGGGACACTGAGCTTCTGTTAAGAGTGATGGAAAATTCTGGAAATGGATAAGGGTAACGGCTGCACAACATGATGAACACAATGTCACTAAACTGTACATGTGAATGGCAAATGTTTTGTTGCATATATATTTACAATAAAAAATATATTAAAAAATCAACTGGTTTACAGCACATTCTCTTCATCAATAATTCATGCTAAGACCTGAAGTAGAAATAATCTTACTTGTAAGATAGTATAAAACAAAATGAACTAAAAAAATGTTTTCAGTGTGCCACTTTCAACCCAGTTTTAGAAAACGGTTCGCTCGCTCTTACCTGTCCAACATTTTGGTACTGGCTCGTTCCAGCTTCTCCAGGATCTGAGGAAGTTGGGTGTCGTCATCACAGGAACCTCCCCAGCCAAGGACCCGAGCGAGATCATTTCCTGTACCCAAAGGCAATACTCCTACCTTACACTGAAAGAGAGCACAAAGGAGACTTCAGACAAGTAGAGAGAGAGGCCTATTGCATTTCTGCTCCTCTTGGTAAGGAATTACGTTAGTATGCGTTCATGTTACTAGCAATAAAAAGAACTAGCACTTGCCTGTTTGATCAAGTTGAGCTTATCAATTTCTGACAAAACCCAACCTACACTTCCATCTCCTCCACAAACAAGAATCCGGAAATTGTCAAACTTCTGAAATAATCTTAAACTGAAAGTAAAACATATTTCATTTTAGTATAAATAAATAAAAATCAAACACTTTTCACCAGTTCTTTGTTTTACTTATTGGTATTTATATTCCTATTAAATATAAGAACTCCTACTTATATATTAGTTATACTATAAAAATTAACTCAAAGGCAGCTTATTATTATTGTACTTTAGATGAAGGTTTATAGGACTAGCTTCTCATTAAACAATTAGTACACATATTGTTTTGTGACATTGGTTACCAACCCCACAACATGTCAACATTCTCCCTTCTTGACCTTGGGTTCCCTATTACCAGCTTTCCTGTCCCGTCCTGCCTTCTAGTCCTTGTCCCTGGGCTGGTGTGCCCTTTAGTCTTGTTTTGTTTTATGGGCCTGTCTAATCTTTGGCTGAAGAATAATCCTCAGGAGTGACTCCAGTGCCAAGCTAAAAGGTGTCAGGGGGCGATACTCTTAGGGTTTCTTCAGTCTCTGTCAGTCTAGTAAGTCTGGTCTTTTATTGTGCATTAGAATTTTGTTCTACATTTTTCTCCAGCTCTGTCCAGGACCCTCTGTTGGTGATCCCTGTCAGAGCAGTCAGTGGTGGTACCCGGGCACCGTCTAGTTATACTGGACTCAGGCTGGTGGAGGCTGTGGTAGCTGTGGTCCATTAGTCCTTTGGACTAATCTTTCCCTTGTGTCTTTGGTTTTCTTCATTCTCCTTGCTCTCAAGGGCAGTTTTTAACTCAAGCACACTACTTAATGATAAAGAAGACAAAGGAATTGTAAGTAGAAATGGAGATAAAATCAGAAGGAAAAGGAGAGTGAAAAATGAGAAAACAAAACAACCATCAGAAACTAGGAAAGAAAATGAAAAGTAGTAACTTGTCTCTTTCTCTTACAAAGATATGTTATTTCCTGAAGAATAGCACATTATAAGCCAGGGGTTGGTGGCCTAGGGCACTGATGTTACTGAGTGGCACTGGAGGCTGTTCCTAAAGACCTGCCAAGCCTGGCCAATGTGCTGATTTCAGTCCTCCCAACTTGCTGTTTCTGTCTCCTCTTTTCCTATTCTTTAAGGCCAATCCTTTTACTTGTATCTTCTCTCATCTCAATTTGTGACACATCTCACCGCCTGAACGTACCTTTGTACACCTAACGTACTGTGGAAAAATCTAAAAAAAAAAAATTACAGGGACAAACTCACAAAGTTTTACAAAAGGAGGTCCTTGGAATCTCAGAGGATGAATGTGGAACATAAATATCAAGAATGTATAACAATGGAAGCCTGAAGGATTATAAAATGATGTGCTAGATAGAAAGGGAGTGAAAGCTATCTAGGATTGGAAGAGACAATGAATGTGAGAAGAAAGGCTGGATGAGGAAATGCTAGGAACCAGGTAGAGGAAAGGAAGGGACACGCAAGTAGATAAGACAAATTTCGGCATAAAGAAGTTGGCCCACATGACCAGAAGGGCCTGAGACTTAAGCAACAAAAGGTAATGAAAACAGAAAGGAAGACCCTGAAGGAACAAAAGGGATGGAGGTACAAGGAGAAACTGAAGGAGAGAAACTGAGAAGAGAGAGGAAGTGTCAAATTATAAAACACAAAACGCACCCCTACAAAAATAGTAATGATCAAAAAAACAGAAAACAACAAATGCTCGCGAGGTTGTGGGGAGATCAGAACTCTTATACATTGCTAGTGGGACTATAAGATGGTGCAACCCCTATGGAAAACGGTATGGCATTTTCCCTAGCTAGACAGAGAAATACCTTATGATCCAGCAATTCCATTCCTAGGTGATGTACCCAAGAGATATAAGAGCAGTGATACGAATAGACATATGCACACCTATGCTCACTACAGCATTACTCACAACAGCAAAAAGATGGTAACAACCTAAGTACCCATCAATGAATGAATGAATACACAAACTGTGGTACATACACACAATGGAATACTATGCAACTCTAAAGAATAATGAGGAATCCACAAAACATCTTATAACATGGATGAATCTGGAGGCCATTATGCTGAATGAAATAAGTCAATCACAAAAGGACAAATATGTATGGCCCCACTCTTATAAAAAGTCAAGAATAGATACACACGCAGAAAGCAAGTTCTTCGATGGTTACCAGGGATGGGAGGGGACAAGAAGAGGAATCACTTTGTAGATAGTAGACACTTATTATTTTTGGTGATAAGAAAGGCAATACCAAATATGGGTGAAGTCTGCACAACGGGACCAAGGTAAATGAAGACACTAAGAATTACACACAAAAAAGGACAATTTCGGTAAAAGTTAAAATATACACAATTTTGCAGCAACAGTAATAACAACCGAAAAACTATGTGTGGTTACGTAGGTAGATATGTATGCATATATGTATATAGGATGGCATATGTGAGTACACATGTTCGTGTGTGCTGCATATATATCTATCTGTATATAATAAAGCACATTAAGGAGCACAGTTACAGAGAATACCTAGACACATCCAAACAACTCGCGGGATTGGTTTACTGGGTTAAAAGGCTTAGGACCATAGTCTTGTGGAACAACTTAGTCAATTGGCATAACATAGTTCATAAAGATAATGTTGTACACCCTAGTTTGGTGAGTAGTATCTGGGCTCTTAAAAGCTTGCGAGCGGCCATCTAAGATACAACTATTGGCTTCTACTCATCTAATGCAAAAAAGAATGAAGGAAACCAAAGATTCAAAGAAGAAACTAGTTCTGACCACAGACACAATAGAAGGTCCTGGATAGAATGGGAGAAAAATGCAGAAGAAAATTCAAATTCCTAAAAAAGCCCAGACCTACTTGACTGACAGAAACTGGAGACTACTGCCCTAACATACCCTTTGACCTTGGAACTCAAGCCACTCCTGGAGGTTACCTTTCAGCCAAATAAAAGATTGGCTCAGATGCGGGACCAAGATGGTGGAGTAGTCAGACGCTTCCAGTGGACCCTCTTACAACAAAGACCCAAAAAAACAAGTGACTCAATTCTATATGGCAATCTGGGAACCCTGAACATCAAACGCAGAGTTGACAAACCGGACTGAGTGGCAGGGGGAGGGAGAGATGGTTTGGAAGCTGCGAGGAGTTGCCAGACCTGACCCAGTGAGAGCCTCAGCCCTTCAGGACTGATCAGCTTGGGGGTGAGTGGTGAGACAGGCAAGCGGCAGTGCTTGGGAGGCGCGTTTTCTGCACTGGGAGAGACCCAGTGCCAGAGAGTCTACGTGGCCACCCAGAACCAGTGAGAAGCACCTCTGATCAGTGAAAGATAAGCACTTGCATACAGCTTACCGCACAGATCGAAAACATCCCCCTTAGGGAAAAACCTCTCTCCCGCTTCCCTCCCCTCTCTTTGCTCTTCACTGCATCCACAACCGGCTTCAGCACTGTCGAGTCCCCTGGGCCAGAAGTAGGATCTATGACATGCCCGGAGACATTCTCCCTACCTCGGAGAATGAACAAATTAACAATCAAGGGAAAAAATAAACTGCCAGCTCCCCTAAGCCAGAAACCCAGGGTAGGCACAGCTCCTTTGCCTAGGCACAGGCATATGGGATGCACAGGCATAAGGGATCCACAGACTTTGAGTGCCTTTCCCCCTGCATAGACTTGTGTGGGGCCATCTCAACAGTGTTAAGTCCTCATTACTGCAGTACAACAGGGTATATACCGGAACTCTAACTTCAACTGTTTCAGCTGTGAAGTAGCAGGTTCTTGACATCTGACACTGCTCTGCCCGTTAAGCAGGGTCTTTACCAACCCACATCAGGGGCAGAGGACTGGTGGCTCCACCCACGCCACCTAGCCACCTGCGAGAGGGGCCCATGAATAAGAGGTGCCCCCCAGTACTTACAGCCAATAACATTAGTTGCTCACAGTCAGGCTGCAAAACCCACCCACCTACGTGCTCTAGGGAATAGTGACACACCTTCCTCCTGGACACTCGGGGGGTGACCGTCAGCCTCCTGCCTTGCTCAGAGTGTGTCCCCCGCTGCAGCCAGATGGCTGTGCTTACACCAATCACCCATGCCTGTCTAGGACTGTCAGTGAGAACCTACACCACACACTTGGTGGCTACCTACTTGGGCACCTGAGCTGAATCCATACCGGAGGAGTGGGTGGACTCCTGAGCTCACATACCTAGTAACAGATCTAACCACCTGGTGACAGGGCATTAGAGCTTCAAAGGTACCAATAATCAAACCAGCGCATACGAACAGCCTATTTGGGCATATCAAAACAAAACAAGAAGTTAGCACACAGTGAGCAAACATGAAATAAATAAATATAATAACTTAGTGATGGCTCAGAGACAACAGTCAATACAAAATCACATAAAGAGGCAATCCATGATGGCTTCTGCAAGCTCCCAAAATAAAGAATCTAGAAATTTTCCAGAGGAGGAAAATTTCTTGGAATTACTGGAGGAAGAATACAAAAGATTAATATACAGAACTCTTCAAGAAATTAGCAAGGAAATTAAGCAAAACATAGAACACACAATAGAGGAAATTAAAAGATTAGAGAAGAGCATAATGACAAATTTAACAGGCTGCAAGAATCCATAGAGAGACAGCATCAGAAATCCAGAAGATTAACAATAAAATTTCAGAATTAGACAACTTGGTAGAAAGCCATAGGAGCAGAACTGAGGCAATGGAAGTCAGAACTAGCGAGAGTGAGGATAAAGCACTTGACACCAACTTATTTGATGAAAAATCAGGTAAAATGATAAAAAAAAAATGAAGAAACCCTAAGAATTATGTGGGACTCTATCAACAGAAATAACCTACGGGTGACTGGAGAACCAGAATGGGGGGTATAACAGAAAATACAGAGAGAATTGTTGCAGATTTGTTGACAGAAAACTTTCCTGATACCATGAAAGATAACAAGATAATCTATCCAAGATGCTCATCAAGCCCCACATAAGGTAGATCTCAAAAGAAAGTAACCAAGACATATTATAATCACACTTGTCAAAACCAAAGATAGAGAATTTTAAGAGCAGCTAGGAATAAACAAAAAGTCATCTGCAAAGGAGAGTCAGTAAGAATAAGCTTGGAATACTCAGCAGAAACCATGCAGGCAAGAAGGCAATGGGATGACATATATAGAACCTTGAAGGAAAAAAAAAACTGCCAGCCAAGAATTATATATCCAGCAAAACTGTGTCTCAAATATGATGGCAAAATTTGGGCATTTCCAGATAAACAGAAGTTTAGGGAATTTGCAAAAACCAAACCAAAATTACAAGAAATGCTAAAGGGAGTCCTCCAGTTAGAAAATCAGTAACATCAGGTAACAATCCAAGACTAGAACACAGGACAGACCAACCAGGTATCAACCCAGATAAGGAAGTCACAAAAGTAAATCAAAGCTAAAACACTGACAACAGGGAAACAGATGTCAATATGTAAAAGATGACAACATTAAAACAAAAAAGAAAGACTTAAAAAATGAAGACATAGATTTTTCATGTGGCAAGGAGGTCAAGGCAATATAAAGAAATAAAAGACTGGTATAAACTTAGAAAAATAGGATAAATATTAAGGCAATCACAAAGGAAAGTAACAATCCTACAAGTTAAAATAAAAAACTAGAAAAATATAAAGACTCAGGAAACACAAAATCAACAACAATGAAAAAGACGAAAAGAAAATACATAAAGAAAAACGACTCAGCACAGAAAATTAAGTGGAACAAAGAAACT